CCTCTGTGAAAGGTTGCATTAGTTCCTATTGCATACTTGTAGAATGTTATATAATCTTTCCTATAGTCGGCATCTTAGTTTATTCATATTGAGAAAGATTTGAATAATGTTTCCCAGAGGTCCAGGTTGTTTTAATTTGTACTTTTGATCTATATATATTAATTAACCACCCTGAAGAGATGTATTCTCGTGGGTGCCTACGCATTTTTTTTATGCCAAAGATCTCTTTTTTTCCCCCACAAAAATCTATACTGCTTCTTTCATTTGAGCTTCTAATCCTTTATTTTAAAATTAACGGTTCCTCTCTCTTTTTTCCGGCATAAATCTATGCTGCTGCTTTCATTTGAGCTCCTAATCCATTGTTTCAAAATTAACCATTCATTCCACCAGTAAGTAAACATTGTTTGTTCTGTCTATAATTTTTATTGATTGATCATTTATTTCTTGCATTCCTCTTTATGCTTTTGTGAATAGATCTTTGAGAAGAACCCGACCACAATCAAGAACTATGGTATCTGGTTACGGTACCTAAGTAGGACTGGTTATCATAACATGTACAAAGAGTACCGTGATACAACTTTGAATGGTGCCGTAGAACAGATGTACACTGAAATGGCTTCTCGTCATCGCCATCATTGCATCCAAATTATCAAGACAGGCACTACCCCGGCTAAACTTTGCAAGAGGGAGAGCACTAAACAGTTCCATAACTCTAAGATCAAGTTTCCTTTGGTGTTCAGGAAGGTCCGGCCACCTACTAGGAAGCTCAAGACAACTTACAAAGCATCAAGACCCAACTTGTTTATGTAACAGGTCTGATTATCTGTTAGACTTGGAACCACTTAGTTTCTGCAAATTTTGTTTACTATTATTGACCATTCATTTGTGTTTGGTTATTGCTTTGTTTTTAGAGAATTGAGGATCGAACCTTTTTGTTTTACCTTTGATTTTGAGTCGTGTAAAATGGAAGTAGGCAGCATAACCTATAATAGTTTGCCATGTAAAATTTTACAAGAAGTGTGTGGATTATAAAGTTTGGGGTTCGTAAAATGAATGGATAAAAATACGTTTAACTAGCCTAAATTATAAAATAAATTTTGTAGAACATACACAATATATGAATCGAAAGTACTTACATATTTTTGGTGTATTAAAGTTTTTAAGTTTTGAATAAGAATTACGATAATAATTTGTCCAAAATTTTAGTAACAAACTTGCAGATAAATTAAGAGATAATAGCTGAAGAATGGGGTAACTTTAACCTAATCTCTAATTTTAGAATATGGAACTCAATAACTAATCAATTGACGTGTAGTATTTATTTGTGTTTGAATTTCAATTAAATAATGATTCTCAATTATACGAATGCGAGTAATATTTGAATTTGATCTTCATAATATTGACTAGGAAGTTAGACTTGTTTGTTGTACCAAATAAAATTGATTTTTATTTTATTGTTGGACGTAAATAATTCAGATTATTAACTTACTAGTTCATTTCCTTTTTCTAATCTTTACATTACAACCCTCGATAGAATTTTCAAGTTTTACCGTAAGTTTAGCATAATTTATTCGACAAAAATCAATAAAGAAGTACAAATATGCGTGAGAATAATTTATTCAATGACAATGAATTGTAAATAGGAGGAAAATTGACACAAATTACATGGAATTTGCTCCGAGTAATATAACCATAATTTTTTGCCTTTATACCCATGTTTAGACCTCTTTCTACAATGAATTTTCTATGGACTTACTTCTTCATCTACGACATGGGGTGCAATTCTCTTGTGAGATTCCGGTTGAGAATAGAAGGATGAGGCTACATTATTTTGATTTCTTTTTTAAATCAACACAAAATGATGCTAACACGAAAAGTTGTTTATGCAATGTTGCAGTCGTGTCATGTCATTTCATTCAACATCTTTCTTAGAACTCTCCATTGTAAGATATAATAAAACGATAGAATGCACATTAAAATGATAGAATGCATCTTTTTAAAGTAATGTGATGGGGAATATGTGGTTGAAAAAGAAGGAAAAGTTATTGATGTGATGAAAAATATTATTTTATTGAAAAATGTGTGGTTGAAAATGAGAAGAAGAATGAGAATGAAAAAAATAATGTGGATCAAATAGGGGCTAATAATTCTGACCATATTTGAAATATACATTGTCGAGCTAACGTCAATTTAGAATATGGAATTCTAGACATTTAAAATTATCATATTGTCGAGACGCTACATCCCATAGCATAATTTTGATGTTTAGAATTGTCAAACGGTTGCATTGTCCAGATATTTAGATAGATGGAACTGTCTGAAATTCATAAATCACAAC